TTGACTAACTTTCCAGTTTGGAATATTGTATTCAAGACTTCGAATGCTCCAGAAACACTTGCACTCGGTACATGTGTGCTTTAGGCATTGGGCGGGGTCGGCAGGGACCATGGGACTTGTATGGAACAATAGGAGAAGACTTCTTCCAAAGGGGAGTGCTAAAAAAACATCTGTATGAGATCAAGGCAATGGAGAGAATGAGCGAAAGTTAAAGGTGGGAGGAGAAAGAAGGAAAGGATTTTGGCACTGCATTCAGACAAAAAAACAAAACTGTGTTTTGGAAAGCACAAAGTACGGGCCTCTTCTATAAAGAGGGTCATGCATATCAGAACTAAATGAGTGACTAAGAGAGGAACATTTTTTCCAACTCTATTATCAAGACTGACTATCAGATATTTTCTTTACTTTTCCCAAAGGAGATATTAAGCAGTATGTTGTATGGGAAATATATTTATGCAGAAATATTTTGGAGTGTTCCCAGAACCTGTTACATCTGTTTATTGTTTGTATCGCTGTCGCAACTTGCAATCTGTTTTACTCATGAGGGCGCATCCATAGACTGTATCAATGATAAACTCAGTGACGTCCACATTTGCCTGTAAAAACAAAGAATTACCAGATTTTTTTTTTTAAACGTATTTTTGTTTTTAAGAAAAATAAGAGCCACATATGAGGATATTCGTTTAAAATTTTGATAGAACAGTAGCAGTATAATGTCCTCGTAAGTGGATATCAGGCCCTTGTAGAGCAAAATTGAGTATTTTGGTCTAAATAACCCAAAATGTGATGTCCACATATGTGGACGCCAGGTCCTAGGAGGTTAAATTAGACATATTACACTTTGCCATTATTTATTTAACATTATCTATTGTGTGAAAAGCCAAGTAGACCCATGTTTCAGTAGTTTTTTTGAAGTGTGGGTGAATAGTTAAATAGTTTCAGCCTTCATAACTTCAAGTATTCTGAGGTAATGGTTTTCTGTATGGCTATCAGTCTCTCTCATCGCTGTTTAGAGCATTGCTTCATTGAAGTTTGCAGCTAGTTCGTAATGATAACACGCAGTTTTCTCAAGTTCTTGCCACAGCATTTCGATCAGGTTGACTTCTGGACTCTGAGTCGTTGAAATACCTTCATTCTTTTATTTTTTAACCCATTCTGTTGTGAATTTGCTGGTGTTTATTCTACTGTTACATAAAGCTTAAACTGTTGGACACTTGTCTAAAAACTAGAATAATTTGGTATAGAAAGGAGTTTATGGTTAACTCAGTCACTGCAAGGTTACCAGGTGCCCGCGTCCTGTGGCTGCAAAACAAGCCCCGATCATCATCGCTCCACTACCATGTTGCTTTTAGCCATTTGTGCTGATGTGCTGTGTTTGTGTTTCCAAACGTGCCGCTGTGCATCATGGCCAGTCATCTCCACTGTGGTTTTCTGTTCAGAGGACATTGTTCCAGAAGTCTTGTGGCTTGTTCAGATGCAATTATGTAGAGCTAAACTGTGCTGCCATTCTAGATGGAAGGGGTTTTCTCCTGGCAACCTTTTCAAACAAGCCACACTTTCCATACAAGTGGCCACACTTGCTGATGATCAGTCAGTCCAGTGCATTTGATTATCAGCACCTGGCTGCTACTTTTCCTCTTCCGATGAAAGCAGTCGGGGTGCAGTTAGTTTTTCTTACACTGATTCTGTATTTTGGTTTAATTATTGGTAGCAAAAATATGAAATTTACTCTACCGTCATTCAAGAATATTCAGTCAGAAGTCTGGCTGGTGTAAACTGTACTTTATTCCTACCTCTGCTGTCTTCCTCCCTGCAGAAAAACTTGGAAAGATCTGTTCCGTTTGTCTGTCGTGGGCTTGAGGTCATCACTGGGTCTGTCTGACAAGTTGTATGCTTTATTGTTAGCACATACCATGTGCAAGGAGAATGGCAGGAAACAGAAAAGGAATTTCAGTTCAGGAGAAATGATGGATGGAGACTAAACTGGGGCTGAAGGGTAACTATACTGGCAGGAAACAGAGAGTAGGACTTTTGTTGTTTCCTTAAACACTTTAGGTAAAATCATCACTGACTTCTATGCCTAGGAAACCTTTCCAATAGAGTCTCTCTGTGCTTACTGTAGGCTCCTAAACAACACCCCAGTTCAACAAATGAAAAGAAAAGCAGGGAAGCGTCTTTACTTCAGATCCCATCTTATGTTGTCCCATAATACTTCAACTGAGCTGTTCAAATGTCACTGTTTCATTAATCTATTCACTTTTATTTTTTTATATATATTTCTACACAAAGGGCTTTACAGAGAGGAACAAAAAATTCAGAATTGTTTCCACTACTGTTAGATGGGATCTTTCAAATTTCACATGGTGTGTAAAAAGTTGGACATGATGCTCTATATCAGAGTTAGTTAAAGAAGAGACATAAAAGTTACTGTTTTTTAATTATTCAAAAGAACTGACAAATTGAAAAATTAACTAAATGTAAACAGGTATTACACTTAAAGCTGAATGAAATTATACAATTAAAGGCCATTTTTAAAATAAAAAACACTCTGAAATTTACTTTTGCCCATAAGAAAAGTTAAGTAATCCAAGTTCAGCATTCATCACATGATATTCCACAGCACAGAAGACGGGAACAGAATAACACAGAAGGATATGACCCAGGGCAGAAAGACTGAAAAGGGAAAATAACATTGACTAAGGCCCTAAAGTCTTTCCTGAATTCTAATATTTTAGAAATAAATATATATATATTAATTTTTAACAATATTACTTCAATATCAGCTCTAAAATTATGTTTGATCACTCACATGTCATGTATGTCTCCACTGACGGCTCTTCAGAGCTTGATCTAGAACACCAAAAAAAACCCAATAATTCCAAAATGTCCTTTAAAAAAGAAGAAGGAAAAAAAGGGCCCTGAGGGTCAGATTTTCTGCTAACATGTGCTGATCCTCGTGATGTCCTGGCAATGCCTTCCTCACTGCACAGAGAATTCTTTGTGTATTTCAAGAAAAATAAGTCAAATGGTAAGTTAGCAAGGGCGAAGAAGAGAGAAAATCTCACAGAAATATCAGGATTCGTAAACAGGCCAGACCCATGCTGTACGTTCTGTGGGGCAAAGCACAAACACAGATACAAATCAGATCAGATTTCTATTTGACATAAGTTACTGGTCTGCTGCTCTTAATGGAAATTTCACCTCATCATGATCCACCAGGTTGCATTTATTTACTTATTTATGCTGATTTTAGTTTTTATCAGTTTCACAATTATTTTTATGTACTGTTATAATGAGAGAAAATTCAGTGAAAATTAGTTGTTTGACCTTAAAATACACCTAGGCTGTTTATTATGTTGTTTATTGTCATACCAGCTTTAATTATGTTTGTTTCAATTGTTTATAATAACTAAAGACTTGTAATTTATAAAATCATAATGCAACATAATTTTCAAACAAATATATGCAAAATTGTTTTTCAATTAAGATTATTCCGTTAACTGTCTTTCCCAACACATGGATTAAAAACACAGTTTTGAGTCAGTTAAGAAAATGAACTATTTTCCAGTGAGATGTTTGGATACATACAAGTTCATGATATGGCAAATAACTGCAAAGATTATGACAGAGCAACAATTAACATAACATAAGTCCTAAATTCAGACTTCAAATCTTTACAAATGCTGATTAAAAATTCTTATTTACTTTTGACTTTTAAGTTCCTCTTAGAAAATAGCTGTTATGAAAACATGGAAGGTCACCACCAGGGATGCCTATTCCCAGACATCAGCCTGATCTTGACTGCATTGATCTTCATATGGTTGCATTGTTTGACAAGCACGTCTCCTGGCAGTCCTCAAAAACCCAGCAGTGGAACTGCAGTGATTCCAGATGTGGCTGACACAGATATGTGGAACAACACATCGCTGTGTGAACATGAATGCTGCGTACCACTCATCAAACTCCTACAACAACCCACATGTAAGTGTAGCAGTTTAGCTGATGTGGTGCGACTTTGAAAAAACACGTTTTGTCTGTAATCTCAGTGTGTGTGTGTGTGTGTGTGTGTTACGACATTTGAAAAATGCAGAGTACAGTATATCAAACCATGCATGTGTTTTTGTGCCATTCAGATGACTCACTCTTGGCTTTTGGTGATTTAGTCCACCAGGGACACACAAAAACTGCAGCCAAGCTTGTGTGTGATGTCATGTGTTTTCACAGGCCTTTTTAGCAATGCAAGTTCACACTTTGTAGAATATGAGAAGACTTCCTCCTCTTTACCATGTGCATCATCAAAGTGGCGCACTTCACAGCAAGAAGACTCCTGTAATGGACTGGTGTCCAGGTTGGACCCCACCTCCCCACCCCACAACAGCTAGGATAGGCTCCAGCCCTGAATTGGATGTGAAGTTAAGAAAATGAATGGATGAATTATGAAAAAGCAAAACTGCAACATATTGTGCTTCTGTTTCTCCTTTTTTCTTTTCCATTTCTTCTTCTTTTTTTTTTTTTTTGCCTTTCTGCAAATCTTTAGCCAAATTGAAGTCAAATGTGTTGCAGACAATTCTTTGTCTTCTCTCAAAACTCTGTTTACATTTGCACTTTTGCCTACATCTTTGTACTGTACTTTTGCACTTGTTTTTCATAGACCGGTCAATAGAAATGGCTCATATTTCTGCTAGAGTATCACCTGAAGCCTTTCTTAAGTCTAAGCACAACCACCAAATTGCAGAAAAATCGAAACAGTGCATAAAATGCGCACACTTTTGTGAAAGAAGACAAATATTTTCACCAGGAAACAAACCTACAACACATAAAGCTTAGTCTGCTGCCAAGTATCTCCCAATAACATCTCATTATCCCATTCTGGCCAGCTAATCATGTGAGCACACACAGGAACACAGTAAAGGGAGGAAGAGGGACTGTTGCTCTGGGGGAAATGGGCAGGAGGCAGTTAGAAAGGGGGTGTGGAAAAAGCACAGAGTGAGAGGCCAAAGAGTCGGGCCATATAAAGAGAAAGAGAACACAAACCAGGCTCTATCTTTCTCCTCTATCAGACCTCACCGACGACCCTTTGCTTCCCCTCCCTCACACTAACCTTCAGTGTGTAGAAACTTTTTGCTCTAACACAGTCCCAGCACCAACTGAGACCAAAGAGGATGGCTACATCCACGTGGAGAATGAATGGACTCTACAGAAAGATGACTCAACCTCTGTTTCTCTGCACTCTGGTCCTTAGCAGTGAGTACTGTAATAAGTATTTATTAAAGTATGTTATTTTGCATTTTCGGGCATTCATCCTTAGTTAGTTATTCTATCCAAACAGAGTTTTATATATTGTGTGAAGTTCATTTATTTTTTTATCTAAAAGTGTCTAACGTTCTACTCCATCAGCAAGATTTTGTTTATGTCACAGTAGCTTACAAACTAGCTGGGGATTTGCTTTGATGTGTTCCACCATGAGATTGCACACAAATGCAAAGAGGCATGGTTAGCAGTGGAGTAGCAGCAGACACAAAGGCTTTGCTCAGAAGTGGAAGCTGCTGTACATACTCATTATACTTTATACCCTGCAGTGTATCTCCGTGGAGCTAGTAAACCACACATAATATAGTCTCAGAATACACACACACACACACACACACACACACATTTTGCGGAATGTATTTAGAGAGCTGCACATGTACTACATGTGTAAAAGTAACCACATTTCATATTATTTCATCACTGAGCAAAAATAGTTCTTTCATCTGTGTTCCTTATAGTAAATGTGTGTGCCTTTGTGTGCACAAGTGTGCAATTATGCGGATGTGTGTGGACACACTGGGCAGTCCACTCCAAATCAGTCCGAGGCCTGACGTTAATTGCAGGGTAATGTATGGCTTGGACGATAGAGCTTCCTCGCTTGTGGAACCAGGTCTAGTTCTAGTTCAGCCCAATGTAACGACTTCTGCAGAGCTAAGGCCACAGGGGCGGTAAATGTTTGGAGTGACCTTGGGAACACTAAGAGGAGTTTTCAAGATTGATGGAAAATAACTGAAGCTTAACTTTTAAAGGGGAAACAATCATGGGATGGCAGAACATGTTTGTAGTGTAGTAAAGAGGCATATTGCCTGCATCAGCAGCCTAACAGATGGTAATTAAATTTACATAGAAATCTAATTACTCTGGGCACACCCCGTCAACGCAGATTACTTTTTTCGATGTATATAGCCTAGTATACAAGTCACAAAGTCACCTCAAGAGGCGTTACTGTTCAGGCAACATGCTACTCCTTCAGTCTTTCTAATATTTAAAAACGTGAGAAATAATGTCTGACAAGTAAACTAATAACCAACCATGTTTATTTGTGTTAAGCAATGAATGATATGCACTCATACAGTAATGGACCTACAATGAAAGGGACTCACTTGACTTCAAGAACAACTTGTGGCTCACTATTTTGCCAAAGAACATTGGCATGGGAACAGACCAGGGATGAAACCTGTAATTACTAAAGCGCTAAAGCACCTGAGCTCCAGTGACCCTGGTTATTTGTGTTCTAATCTAGTCTAGTTTTATTGTGTCAAGAATTTTGTATAATTTAATTAACTGGGTTTGTTTTCACCCACTTCTTATTATGATTTCAGCCATGATCGCCTCGCCTTTTGCTCTATTTGCAAATCAATGTTTAAGCAGTGGTCTTAATTAGCATTTCAAAAACAAAGGATATAAACATTGCACCTTTATTTTAGGTTTAAGCACACAGCTTCTGATTTCTACTTTAAGAACTCCGCAGTTGTGTTGTCTGCTCACCCGTCCTACGCTTCTCACCACATCCAACAGCAGTCCTTTGATTACACAAATCTGGTCACAGACGGCTCAGAAAAACAAAAACTGAACATTTCTCACCTAATTATATGTGATGGATTGTTGTGTCTTCATGCAGCTCTGCCATTCTGTGTGTGCGTGTGATTATTTTGTTTCTTGTTTTGATTTAGTTTACATGGGTCCCAGCTCTAGGTCACAAGAGACAAATTGTCATTGATTTCTTTTGACAACACCAGCTTCTGTGGTTGCAGTAGTATCAAAACTCTCTGATATCTGGGAACCTTGAATACACATTTTTGCAAAGTCTTGGAAAGTCCCACATCATACAAAACCTTTCGCAATTTGGTATGTTGGCATTGTGACCGGTGTTGTAATAATAGTTTATCTCAAAGTCTCAGAGTATTAGAAGGTAAATGAAGTGTTGGTTCTCACTTTCAGCTTGTTGTACGTGGGAGGAATGGACAGCTGTAAAGACTTTTTATAAAGACAAAACTGCTAAAACCAAATGACTTGAAACGGCCTTTGGTTGGAGCATTTCCAAAATGCCAATGGGCTGCTTTCAGTCAGGAGTGATGACTAGCTACTGAAACGAAGGATAATAAAGGACACACCAGATGTTATATACAACAAGGCACCCTTAGAGATAGAGTCCCTCAACTGGTCAGAGTGTTTTTTATGTGCCTGTGGCATGTCAGCAGCATATTATAGAGGATGTTTAACAAAAAGTTTTTGGCTTAGCAGTAATGTCATGTTGCTGCAAACGTACAAAGAACTATAAAAAAAAGTGTCCCCTCTGCACAGTTTTCATAAGGTGGAGATTTGCTATTGAGATAAAGACTGCTTTTTTGTTGTATCAGGGTGTAAACATGTTTATTTCTACTGCTGGGACATTAACTTGGGCATCTTGGGCACTGACTTGCAGAATCAGTCTCAAGTGGCCATTCAAAGAACTGTTTTCTTGGAACCAAATTTCCTTCACTTTTAACCCCAGAATTACTCACTTGGTTTATCAGAGCAAACATCCTTGTCACATATAAACAGGTCTCTCACCCTGACTGCAAACAGATTGAGTTTATACACTCACTTCCCATGGCTGTAATTCAGTATCTATGCAGGCGTGTAAATATGCAGCGCTGACATGGCCATGGACTAAAATCTTAGATGATGTCATTCATTGCCTTTTGGAGTGTGTTATAAGCGGTCTCTCTCCCTCTCTCTCTCTCTCTCTCTCTCTCTCTCAAGATTTCAGGGGAAAACCCAAGCTTTAAATCTGCTCTGGAGAAGGGGAAAAACATCTTGTCTCACTTACTTCAGCTTGTCATCTACAATGACTGTTTCTGTTGCTAAGTCAGGGCCTCAGGCGGAGCAGAATATGATAGAACAATTGCTGCTACATATCATAGTGAAAAAAGTTTCATTCATGGTTGGAATATTCCAGTTTCTTATTAAGTTACTTGTGTGCATTTTTGCACATGTGTAGAAGTAAAAAGCCGTTAGTACTTTGTGATGATCTGTAAAAATATGAGACTAATTCGTTCTGAACAAGAACAAGTAAAAGATGAAAGGGTCAAGACTTAATGTTTTAAAGTGAAAGAGCAGACTTCAGTGAAAATAAGCCCTGATATGTCTCTGCACACACATTTTTGAAGCTTTGTTTCTCAGACAACAACTTTGCCAATGTAAACATGGCCAGAATATTGCCACTCATGGCCCTCGGCTATTGACCAGCATTCTTTCAGTCTCAAGTTGTGATGATGAAGTTTGAGTCACGTCATCTGCTGAAGGGTGTGGGTCTTTTATGTAAGCCTTGGCAGATCATGGTCTTATGTCAGCCTAGGGTGTGTGTTCACTTGGGCCCAAAGTCATGGTTGAGGAGCCATGTGAGCTTGCAAAGCAATTAAACCTGAAGCCTGTGTTCTGTAAAACCAGCCATTTTGCTTTAGCGATTTCTAAATGTGCAAACCGGGTTAGATGTGAATAAACAGCTTGTATCAGTGTACATTCTGACACCATATCTCTGAACCCACATGCGCAAAATCACATTTTGAAATGTATTTCTCTCTGAATTATCTTTATTTGGAGCCAACTTCCTTCCAAAAATGATGTTAATGAAAAGCAAAACAAAGCCGCTAACTAATGATCATCCATGAAAAGGAAATTACTTCAATAAATAGATTGTCTAGCAACAATATTTACCTTGTGAAACAATCTTAACTAGAAAAAGTTGCATTTCCTGCAAAAATGCAGTGTGAATTCTGTGTAGTGGAATTTGCTAAAAACAGCTGAAGAAGCTGAACTTTCTGCTGAAAAGAGGTGAAAAAAAATGAAAATTCTGCTGAAAAGAGGTGTAGAAGCGGAATTTGTGCTGAAAACAGGTAAAAAAAAGCAGAACTTTCTGCTGAAAAGAGGTGAAGAAGTGGAATTTGTGCTGAAAAGAGTTAAAAAGCTGACATTTGTGCTAAAAAGAGGTGAAAAAGTTGAACTTAAAAGAAATTTTGCTTAAAAGAAATTTAGCCATGGCTGACATTCAAACCCAGTCCTCCGAGTCACAAAACAGCTGCTCGTCTCACTGAGCTGAAACACAGCTCACCCTTGTGAGCTAAATCAGCAAACACACTTGTAATGTGGTTCCATTCATCAAAATGGGCCAAAAAATGGCATAAAAACCTTCATATTTCAAAAAGTATAAAAGTTATGAGCACCAAAAGATATACCAACCGTTAGCAGAGTTTGAATGGTGGAAATTGTATGAAAACTGAAGGGGTAGTTAACCAGCAAAGAACGGAGCAACTAGAATAATAAGGTAGAAGAAAGAGAAACAGGATCTCAAATTCACACAACAATGAAAAACAGAAGCTGTGCTACCATTCAAATCTTCCTTCTTCCAATTACTGCTGTTCTGGTGAGCTTATTGTTCCTTGTTCCCCTGCTGCAATTTTACAGCTGCTAGGATTGAAAGAAAAAAAAAAGTAGTCTCTCATTTAATTGAAAATTGGCAGTATGAGATGTCCAAAGGATGAGAAGCTCTTAACATCTTTGCTCAGATGAACCTCAGCTCTATATTCAGCTAATGAACAGAAAATAAGTGTGATTTCTAAAACAAGAACTTGGAAAAATCGTTTCACTTATTATGTCATCATTGCTTTTTCCCTTGCTAAAACGTAAGCAACAGATTGTCCTTACTGACTTATGTAAAGTTATGAGGATGTCGTAACACCAGTAGAATGCAATCACTGCATAAACTACATAATCTACGTTGGATACCCAGGCTGGGATTTCCTTAAAGAGGGCTATATTGTTTACCCAGGGGGATAAAAGCCCTTAATGAGCATTAGTGGGGGGTTTTGACTGCCAAAATAATAGCTCTTGGTAATTAATGTTCATTAAATGGCACACTGTTGAAGGCATACTTTAGACATCCTAATTGAAAG